GTCCCCGGCAGAGTCGCCAGTTCTGTGATCGGTGGGAATAGAACTGACTGTTTTTTAGCTGGTTTCGCGAAATGTCGCGGTAAGCAAGAGTCGCCACCGTCTTTTATGTTCTCCAACATGGAAAGGACAAAAGCACAGCAAAATTCCTTATTCGAGAATGTTTCTCGGTTCGGGAGGTAGATTTATAGAAAGGGAATGGGTTAGCACCCTTTCTATCCGTGGTTATCCACGGGCTCTTAGGTACTTGCTCTTATGTTTTCAAAAAATTTGTTTGCTTTTCAAGTGTGTGTGGGTTTTAGAAAAGTTCGTTTGAAAAATTTCTAAGTAACTCTTGTATCTGTCCTCAAGAGTGTATGAAAAATTTGTTTGAAAACTTTTGAAAGTGTAGGTGCGAAAAGATGTTTTTGTTTGTTTTGAAAAGAGCAAGTACCCATGAGATCTACCTACTCTAAGGAATTAGGCTGTGTAAGAGTCCTTTAGATAGTGCTATCCCACCATTGAGAGGTAGGCAGCACCATCGTTGGAGGTATTCGGGTCAATTCGATGATTAGGGACATGTGTGGTCACCGAAGCAATGGTAGGATACCTTAGAAGTAACCCTAATGTCCTAGATCCTTTTTTTTTATCCGAGGCAACCGTTTCGAGGCAACTGGATCTTTTGGACAGAAGGGCGACCTCTAAGACACCCTATACTTGATGACCACGTTCGAGGCAACCAGTGAGGCGTACCCTAGGAGTGGCATGTGCTTTGTGTGTTGTTTTTCAGTTAATGTTTTATCTTGTACATGTTATTTGTGAGCTACAGATTGATTTTATTTTACATACATTCTTGCAGGCATATTAGCAGTTAGGGGTGCGGAAAATAAATTGCAGAAATGTAAATCTAGCTATTACAAGGCGCGGGTATATACATCGCCAAAAACAAAAACCCGTTTTGAAAAGTAAATGCAGAAAATTAAAGAAAGCAATAAAATCCTAATTACTATTACATCCTTTGTACAGATACATAAATATAATCAAAATAAATAAATACGCGCGAATAGAAATTTAATCAGGAACGTCCTAAGGATTTTGACCCTTTTTTAAGAAAGAATTGAATTTTGTCCTTTTTTTGTAATTGCAATTAATTAAATAAAGCCTAATTACTAATTAATTAATTTATTAAAAGAAAATATATTTTTTTGTATTTTTATGTTTTTAATGAAAATAAAAATAAAAAGGAATTAAAAATGTCAAAAGAAAAGCCTAAGTCTAAATTGTTTTTATTTATTGTAAAAAGGTTAAAATTAAACTAATTAACTAATTAATTTGTTAGTATTTTATTTACAAAAATAAAAGAGTGAGATTAATAATAAATTAAATATTTACATTTTTTTAGTTTTTGAATTTTTATTATGAAAAGTGTTAATTAATTGATTAATTAAATAATTACTAAAGAAAATAAAAAGAAAAGGAAAATAGAAAAAGAAATAGAAACCAATGGGGGTGTTGACCCAAGAATGGAGGTGAAATCTGGAATTGTGAGGCCTGTTATCTCAAGCCTTGTGGACTTTTTGCAATTGGCTGCGTGTGCTTTGACCAGGGTGTATGGTGGTCATCCTCTCTTGGCCTTCAGATCTGTGATAAGGGCCACATGGCGTGCATCTGGATGAGGTGTAGGATGGACATCACTCAGTATCCTGCATATGATTGTATGAGGAAAAATAATATTGAAATTATGGGGGACCTGGGATTCGAACCCAGGTCCCAAGGGACAATACCTGTACGCCTTAGCCAGCTGAGCTATGTGTCTTAATTGAAATAATAATAACAACTAAATATAATATTAGTAAATCAATGTATATGCTAAAAAAAACAAAAAAAAACGCGCGTTGGTTTGAAATGACCAATCACGCTGCAACAGCTGGTCGTCTTCTTCATCAAGAATTGCAGGTTTTTTACCTGCGGATTTTATCCGCAGGTGGTTTCGTAGGTTGCTTCGAAAATGATCCTCAGGCCATGAAAATGCATTCCAAGATCATGGTTGATCTCGTCTCCACCTCCTGAATCCATCCATGCTCATTATTTGCTCTGATTGTACCTGGAAACAAAATGCCCAAAACACAAAAGGACGAACCCTAGAATCGGGCACCACGATTCAGGGCCTAAAAACGCAATTGGATATTACAGTGATGTTAGAAATCAAGTAAGGAACACAAATATGCCAATGCTTTTGAGAAAAAGTGCAAGGATAAAGAACCGAGGGATCGTGTTCAGGGGCCTGTTCGTGAATACTTACAGTGCTTGATAATGGACCTTAGGACGTGGCAAGGGTTGCTTTAGCTTCAGGGTATGGCAAAGAAGAGAGTCACGTTCTCCTTTTGGCCTGAAAATGCTTGCAAAACTCCTTTTGATCTCACACTTTTTTGATTAATTTTGAACTTTGCTCTGGCCGTTTGTGCACTTTTTCGTTTTTTGAATGAGGTTGGGAAGGCTTGCATATGTATGAATGAAGGGAATTAGGTCACATTATGAGCCAATGATCCCTTGCAATTAAGTTTTTGGATTCTTCATAACCACCATTAAAGAACATTCCAAGCTTGGTTAAAAACCATGATTTTGTGCTCAAAATGGCTTGGCATGAATTTGGTAACTTTCTCATGACACATAAAAGCCATTCAAATCAAAAGATGCTATCCATTTAATTTTTTTTGATTTTATTTGAATTTTATGGATTTAAAATGAATTAAATCAAATAAAATTAAATAAAATAGAAAAATTAATGTTTAATCTTGAAATTAATCATGGGACACGTGGGTGGCATGAAAAGGCTGAATCAAGTGGAAGAAAGTGGACCCTTTTGTCAAAAATTGAAGTTTCAAGGATAGTTGACTTTTGCCATTTCACAAAAATTTCCCAACTTCTCCAATGCATATCTTGCTCAATTTTGATCATATGAACATGTTCTTGGACATTTTGGAAAGGTCTTGAAGTCCTCTAACCAATGCCTTTGGTCCCATGTCATTTGAATTTACCAATCTCTAGTTATGGTCTTTGACTTAAAGTGCCTTTTAGTTGACTTTTGAAAATGACCTATAATGTTGAAATTGATAACTTTTTGTGAGAGCATTTCTTGGAATTGGAATGTGAAGATGAGTTGTAGGAAATGTCCTCCCCTTCAAAATGAGCATTGGATGGGATTTTTTGGATGAACCATGGAAAAGTTATGCCTTGGTCAAGTTACAGTTGACTTTTCAACTGTCCAAAAATGGAAACTTTTGCATCTTGATGATTTTTGAGCCATTCTTGTGGAATCATGATCAAGACTTGATCAAATGATGATTGTGGCTTCAAAATAAGATGTTGACCAAAATTTTTGACTTTTGACTGCCAAATGACCATTTTACCCCTACAGTTGATTGTAGCGCAAATAGGGCTTTTGACTGTGCAACTTGATGTTGTGAATCTTGAAACTTGACATATGGATGCTTGACAATGTATATAGGCATATGAGACTTGATTGGACCACTGAAAACCTCAACTTTCTTGCAAGAACCAAAACCCTAATTTTGACTGGCTTAGGAGGCAGTTGGATTGTGCAATCTTTGAGAAGTCTTAAACCATTTGAATATTGATCTTGACAAACCTTGAAGAATATGGGAGGGCAAATTTTGGGGTACAACACATTGTCTAAAGGACATTTGTACAGATTAATTCCTTTTTCGAGTAGGTAGATGGTTCTTAAGTACTTGCTCTTTTAAAACAAAACAAAACTTTTCGCACTTACAAAAACTTCTTTCAAACCCACAAACACAAAGAAATGCAAATTTTTGAAAACACTTTGAGCAAGTACCTAAGAGCCCGTGGATAACCACGGATAGAAATGGTGCTAACACCTTCCCTTTCTATAATCTACCCCCCGGACCCGAGAAACATCTCGAAAAAGGAATTTTTCTGTGCTTTTTTCCTTTCCTTGTTGGATAAAGTAAAAGACGATGGCGACTCTTGCTTACCGCGACATTTTGCGAAAACAAATGCAAAACGCGAACCAGCATTCCAAAAACAGTCAGTTCTTCCCACCGTATCACACAACTTTTAACGGATCACGACGGTGACAACAAGCCTCCACGCTAGAGGATCTTGAGGAAAAATGCAAGCTTATCACCTTTTTTGAGATATATGGTCCTCACGAAGTCATACCAACCATGGCCAATGTACCCTTCCATACAATACTCTCTTTTTTGCAAGATAAAGTTCACATTAATAGCTTTTCCCGGTATCAGAATCGACCAACTAAATATGCCTCTGACCCTTTTGCAAGTAATTCTTGATTAATTTTTGAGGAAATTTCTACACATAACACAAATTACATAGTATGACTTATATCAATACATGGAAACGTTGCTCTACTTACGAAGATATTTTTTGTTGCTGTCTTCCCGTAATTTATTTCCTTTTTCCATAGAAAATACCAGCGCCGACTTCTCTTTTCGTCAGCAGCCTCCTATTCATGACAACTGCATCATAACATCAACCATTACATGTTTATTTAACATTTTTGGATGGCATAAATTATAAGCCTAACCAAAATAATAAAATGGTTGAAAATAAATTATATAACTCGCAACATACATAATTATTATAATATACCTTTCACTATCTGATGATATGTTTATATATGAAGATCCAGCACCGGTGGACCCTTTCCCTTTGTTGACATCCATCTTTCCATTTGAATCCTCAAAAAAATATTTTGCATGCAGCTTGCACTTCACAACTACAACTTCACAATGGAAGGACTTTTTACCTAATAAAACACTTTTCCCTTTTCTATGTTGGAGTCTTGCATGCAACTTTCTCTTCTCAACAACGCCCGCATGATTGACAGACTCTTCAGCTAATACAACAATTTTCCCCTTTCTATCTTTTGACTCTTTCAGCTACCCCACCAAGGCCAACAAATGATGGTGCATGTTTGTTTTTAATTTTCTCACGAACAACAACTGTTTCAGCAAACCACCATGACCAACAAAGGATCCTACATGTTTCTCTTGCATTTTGTCACGAACAACAATTCTTTCAGCTATCCCACCATGGCCAACAAATCATCATGCCTGTTTCTCTTGCATTTTCTCATGAACACCAATGGATGGCCCTCCGTTTTCCCTTCATTTTTCGCAACATCCACAACAGTTGAAGTAGATTTTGCGATCTCTGCTTTTTTTCTTAGCCTCTCTATATTCATGATGCTCTTTGAGATGCTAACGTTAAACCATCTCAATCATCCTTATTCTCCAATCGGGTTTCTCGCTGTAAGTATTTGATAGATCTGCAAAATAAACAAAAAACAACAGCAATTAGCTATATGTGTAAACAAATCAAATTCATAAACATGCAAGATAGATCTGATGCAGATACCAGTTATACCTAACACTTAGAGGAGTAAAAGGACTGTTGCTTGCCATCTTTGATAAGTTGAAGGAACAAAGTTATTGTTTCCTTGGAATGCAGAAGATCTATCGTGCTTACTATACAGTTTCTTTGGAAAGCCTTTTTGTATACTTTGTGTTACACAATAAATTAGTATTTAGCCTTTGTAGTTTTTCTTAGGCCTTTGGCCCATTTTAGTCTGGGTTTCAAGGCCCATTTTACATGTACACTTTTGTATTTATTTTCAGATATCATTTTTACAATAGTTTTATTAAGGGTTATATACATTTTACCTCATGAAATAGTAGCGAGTTTTGATTTACCCCCCTTTTAAAAAAAATTCTTTTCGCCCCTCAACAAACATAGATTCCATAACCAAAAACCTTTTAGTCCAAGATTCCATTTGAAATGCAGACGTGGCAATATCTGTTTGCTGACTTGGCCTCCTATGCCACCGTGGACTGGTCATATATGCATATGTTTCTTTCTCTTCATAAAAGTCATCATCTTCCTCATTTTTTCCTCTGCAACTCAACCTTTCACCCCCATGAGCTTGTTCTTATGGATGCTTCTGGAAATTCTCTCCTCACCATATCTAACATGAGGTGAAGCCTTTTCTAAAGTTCTCTTCATAAGCTTATAAAAATAATCTGAAATAATATATTTTTGATAACATATTTGTAAGTGGCAAAAGACGGGACATATATACCTTGCTGGGGAGATTGCACTTGTTATTGGGATAGTTATCTTCGTTACTTCACTTCCACAAATTAGAAGAAAAAACTTTGAGATTTTCTACTACACACATCATTTGTATATACTCTTTCTAGTACTTTTCTTGTTTCATGCTGGAGATAAGCACTTCTATATGGTGTTTCCAGGAGTTTTTCTTTTTAGCCTCGATAAACTACTTCGTATAATTCAATCAAGCCCGAAAACTTGCATAGTTTCAGCTAGATTTTTTCCCTGTGAAGCTCTGGAGTTGATTATCCCCAAAGATCCAAGTATTTAATCTTTACACCTATCTGAAATTGAATTATATTCAAAATTTTCATAGTAAACGATTTGGTTTCGACTATTTGCAGGGCTAAAGTATAACCCTACAAGTGTTGTATATATGAAGATACCAACTATATTGCATCTTCAATGGAATCCATTCATTATAATATCGAGTTCCAAAGCTGATGAAAACATTATGTCTGTGTTGATTAAATCTCAAGGATGGTGGACTAATACTCTTCATGATTTGATAGAAACTGAACTAAACAAAGGTGCTGATAAAAGAAAGGGCATACATGTTGCAGTTGAAGGACCTTGTGGACCTACTTCATTAGACTTTTTAAAGTAAACATAACATTACGCAAGATGCTTTGAAATTTATAATAGACTTTTTTTATAAAATTATTCGAAATAACAGAAAAATTTGTCTGCAGACATGACAGTGTACTTATGGTTGCCGGAGGAAGTGGAATAACACCATTTCTGAGCGTTTTGGCCGAGATTGGTTCAACCACCAACAAAAATAATTTTCCTTCAAAGATCCAACTTGTACATATCATAAAGAGGGCACAAGATGTTTGTCTGTTACATTCAATCACACATTTTCTACTTAACCAAGCAAGCCGAAAGTTTCATTTGAAACTAAGTTGTTTGTTACACAAGAAACGCAGCTAGACCTGAGAAATTGTTTGGACAGTGTGAGCTCAAAATATTATGCAGCATATGGACTTGAAAGTCTAGTTTGGATGGCTACTATCACTGGATTGAATTCTCTCCTCACCATGTGTTGCCACAGGGTATAGCATCTGGAAAATGAGTGGTGGTGTGATGCGGTGGAAATGAAGTGGAATGTTGAAAGAGTGAAGAAAAATGGGTTTGGAAGTGATGTTATACCCTGTGGCGACGCATGGTGAGGAGAGAATTTCCAGAAGCATCCATAAGAACAAGCTTATGAGGGTGAAAGGTTGAGTTGCAGAGGAAAAAATGAGGAAGATGATGACTTTTATGAAGAGAAAGAAACAAATTCATATATGACCTGTTCATGGTGACATAAGAGGCCCAGTCAGCAAATAGATATTGCCACGTTTGCATTTCAAATAGAATCTTGTATTAAAAGATTTTTGGTTATGAAATCTATGTTTGTTGAGGGGCGAAAATTTTTTTTTTTTTATTTTTAAAATGGGGATAAATCAAAACTCGCTACTATTGCAAGAGGGTAAAGTGTGTTTAACCCTTTCATTAATAGTTTCATTTTTACAATATTAGTTTTTTCTCATATTTAATAGTTTCATTTTGATAACTTTTGTCTCTTTTTATTTATTTTATTTTATGAAACTTTATTTTCATATGATAATTATTCTATATTTTTTTGGAGTTTAATTGTTATGCACCGTTAATGTAAAAAATTTTACTCTATCATTACACCACAACCAATCAATTATAATACTTTAAAAAAGTTAAAAATAAAAGTCAAATATTTTCAACAAATTAACGGTTGTAGTTAACCGACTGTGTAAAATTTCTTTACACCGTTAGTGTATTCCAATTAGTTTCTATCTTTTATATATTATTTTATCGGTTACCAAACTTTTTTATTTTGATATTTTTTAATTATTTAATTCAATTAAAAAAATTAAAAAAATTTCTAGTAATATTTTAGCACTAAACCTTTTTTTTCTAAATTATAATTTGACTTTGTCATTTACTTTTTTTATTTACCATATTTATTATTATCTTGATTTTCACAACTTTTGTCTTTTTTTCTTTTAATTTCTTTTTTATGATAGTTAATTGGTATAAATTTATTATTGTACATATATTTTATAATTTATTTTGTAAATTTAATTTCTTTGGATAACTTATTGTTTTTAATTCAATTCTTTAAAATAAATATTTTATTTAATAATTTTTTTTCTCAATTTTTATCTGTTTGAAAAATACACGTCAGAGAGAGAACCCATGCCTATGAATGAGTTTGTTACTAGTTACGTAAACAAACAAATAAATAAACGACATAATTGCAATAATAACTAATCCTCTATTTTAATGCTTTATTTTTTCCTGCATATTTTATTATGATATATTACCTTCTATTTAATGCTTTAGTTAAAAAAGTTAAATATAATATTAAATTTATTGAAAATTAATATTATTTTTTAGAGAGATATTATACTATTAGAATATTTATTATAGATTGTGAAATAGATACATGATGTCTTCGTTAATGCACTTATATCAGAATATCTATAATAGATCAGTAAAAAAAGGTATATTAAGAAATAAATAATTAATGCATTTATATCTGAATATTTATTATAAATCTAAAAAATATATATATTAATAAATATATAGTTAATGCCTTTCGAATTTTAAAAATATTTTATAGAAAATTGAAGAAAAAATCAAATCATCTACTATTTAGGCATGAAAATAGTTCTGATATAGTTTAGTTTATTAACTTATTCACAAATTAAAAACAAACATTGATTTTCTTTAGATATCCTAAATCGAGTTGATTTATCAGTTTATCGTGGTTTAAAAGAGGAGGATAAAGAGGACATGAAGGTTGAAGAAGACGAAGGTAACATGTTGGTTGATGCTGTTGGAAGGAGTATTGAAGGTGGCTACAATGAAAATGCATATGATTATCAAGATGAATGGGGCTCTTATTGGGACGATGGAATGGATATTGAAACAGAAGAAGAAGATAATGAATTAATAAGAAGTGTTGAAGATTATCATCGTGAAAATCCTTATGGAGATAATAGATTCGTTATTGAAGTTGAAAGTGATGAAGACGAATGGAACTATGGTTGGGGAGAGGGCATAGAGATTGAAGAAGAAGATATTAGGTTTGTTCCTGCGGCTAAGTCGTGTATTGAGGGATTCAAGACGGTAACACTTGAAGAAGTAGAAAAGTGTACTATTTGTCTCGAAGATTTTAATGTTGGTGTCTGTCTCCCATGTTCGCATATGTTTCATATGAATTGTATTCAAGATTGGTTGAATATAGGCAATTTTTGTCCTTTGTGTAGGTTTCAATTGCCTACTAATAACACAAGTGAATAATAAGTGTGTTGTCATTTTTTCTTATGGAAATCCGTGTGTTCGCACGGATACTATGATATGCGCATTTGTTTATAAAATATAATAAAAATAAAATAAATCTATTATAAATCTATAAAAATGATAGTTCCTGGAAATTACCACAACACTACAGCTGAAAAAATTCATTGTTGGTCTATTGTATTGGGGTAAAATTGGAAACTCCAAAATATCTTGCACCACATTGATTTGAATCTGATGTGGCACTCCCACAATTTTTCACCACATTTTCAATTTTTTTTTTCAAATAAATCTCACATATTATACTGTTTTTTAAAATAAAGAACCAATTCAATTTATTGTGCAGGCAGCGTGAGAAACCCAACCATGGGGAATACCAATTCATTATTCCTTGCCATTCATTGTGCCTCTCTTCTTCTTCCCCATGCCAAACCATTATGCCTCTCTTAATCAGAATTCAAATTCAAATGGAACACCAAAAGTTTTTCACTCTTCCTTCAATTCTTCCCCAATGTGTACTTATGTATAACCTCTATTGCTTAACACCTTCCAGTCGTTTTCATTCACGCAAGCCATTGCTACAGACGTCTCTTTCGTTTTCATTCACGCAAGGCTCTCTGCGCTGTTACGAATCGCTGCGTGACGATGGCGCGCCCAATCGAGTATATCAGTAGCATTGACGATTCGAAGGATTTGTGAAAGGTTGCTGTTAGATGTAAGCATCTGTGGTCTGTTACCAGTTCTCAGAATAGAGAGCACTTAGAGCTTATTCTGTTTGATTCAAAGGTATAATACAATCTAAACGTTTCTGCTTTGCCATTCTGATTTTGTTGTAACAGTACTGGTATATGATACTGATTTCAAGATGTTTGTATTTTCATAGTTGGATTTGATTCAAGCCATTGTGCCATCTTATTTGGTATCAAAATTCAAAACACAGCTAGAACTTGGTTGTTCCTACATAATGCAGAATTTCAAAGTTTCCAGCAATGATTTCTCCTTCAAATCCACTGATCATAAGTTCAAATTGATTTTATGTGGTTCAACTTCCGTCAAAAAGGTCCAACTTGCTGACATACCTCTGAACCACCTCAAGTTAATTGGAATAAATGCTATTATTGAGGGTAAATACAGAACGAATTTGTTATATGGTGAGTTACATTTTTACTGTTATAATAGAACGCATTGTATTGTGACTTCTCCGTTATACATAACTGTCTGTGGTGAACTTTTGTGCAGATATAATTGGTGGGGTTACTGAAATATCCCAAGCCCAGATAATTCCTGATAACAACAAAAGCAAGGTTGTGCTTTTATTAACTGATCTGAGGTAGGTGTTTCATTTTGTTTGTTAACATTGATGCTGATAAATATAAAAGTCTAACATGTTCATGTTGTTTGTTTTGTAATTCCTGTCAATCAGCAAACATCATGTGCAATGTACTCTTTGGGGTAAATTAGCTGTGCAACTGAATGAGTATTATACGACTCATAAGGCTGATGGTAGTATTGTTCTCCTACTTATGAATGCAAGGATCAAGGAACCTCAAGGTATGCTATGTGACTATTTCTTATTATATCCAATTATTATATCCAACTTTAAGTGTTGTCATTTATAAATATCTCAATTTTCAGGAAATTATCCTTTAAATGTATCAAATGCTTGGAACGGCACAAAACTGCTCATCAATGATTTGTCTATTGAGGAGGTTAAAAACCTTAAAGAGAAGTAAGTGATTTTATTATGAAGTTATGAATTAGCAACCTATGATTACTAACAGCCTGTTTTCATTCTGATCTATGTACATCAGACTTAAAGATGATCTGCCGACGCTCTCATCCTCGAGCATGCAAATGGAAACCACAAATACCTCTGTTTTTTCTGATTTGGACAAATTTGTATGGAAAGCTGAAGTGTTGAGTCTGTCTGATATTGCATATCTGCAGACTGTAAGTTGATCTTTAATAATGACTGTCTTAGATTGAGGAATTACACAGACTGGGTTCTAATCCATTTTTTGAGACATCATCCCATCTTTCTGTTTCAGGAAACTACATGTGTGACTGTTGCGACTCTGGAGAAGTTTGAATGTGGGCAGTCAAGATGGTATTATGATGGATGTAGTGAATGTACCAAAAGTGTGACTTTGAAGGATGGAAAATTCATGTGTTATTCCAAACACATCAGTTCTGAGCCAGTCCCAAGGTAACTTCTAAGTATTGCATATCAATGATTATCATCATATAACCAAACGCTTCATTACTGACAATTTCTTATTTTGATCACGCATGGTACAAATTTAAGCTTGAAGTGCTTGCCTCTGATGGAAAGTTAAAATACAAGTTCGTATTTTGGGATGTAGATTGTGTAAAGTTGATTGGGAAGTCCGCCCTTCAGATGAAGTTGGATTTGATGGAGGTATTTTCCATTTGGCTAATATGTAAGTTAGATAATTACCACATAAATAACATATATTGTTTTAATCATTTAGACTGGAGATTTTGATCCCCTTGAATTCCCTTATGAACTTGATGTGATGCTGAAGAAGAGCAGTGTTTCAACCAAACAAGGCCAGTCTTTCTGTAATCGGATTTAAGGCAGATGAAGTGCTACGTACCAAAATAAAGGAGAGGTTTAAATGTGAAGAGGTACTGTTGTACTCATGTTTTACTGTTGTTAAAATCAGTATCATGTGCATTGGATTTTTTTAACAATTGTTTAAAACTTGCAGCACACTTCAAAGATTGTCGTCTCAACAGATGACACTCGGGATGATATGCATACAGCATCAGTATGTTTTAAATAGGAACGACCTATTACTCTTGCCATCACATTTTGAACAATTGTCTAACGTTTATTTCTTGCGTTTTTTAACTTGCAGTGTACTCCGACCATCACCACCTCGGAAAAACAGTCTCATGATGATCCACAAACAGTTTCAGTGCGTCTTTTTTTAGCTTTCAACATTAACAAATTAGCCTATTAAACAATGTCTTACTTCCTTTTTTTATGCTACTGATTTTGTAATGACTCTTTAATGGCAGGATCCGTTATCAATCACTGCAGATTATGACCCTTCAATTGCCAACTCTGCACTTACACCGTCAAAAAGATCTATTCTTGAGACAGTTGAAGAACTCGACAGTGCCCAACTATCGTCCACCAAGATAATAAGGGACATCAAGCTGGAGAAATGATGCAGTCAATTATCGTCGACGATTTATTTTTACTTTAAGCTGTTTTGGACAACATTGCACACCTTATTTTGATTGATGTAATGAAATATTTCTGGTTTACATTTTGTTTATTCTGGTTTATGAGGATTTGATTTGTCATTCTTGCTTTTTGTTTGATCCTTTTGACATTGTATATGAAAGAATGATATGATTTTAGTCATTTAAGCTGCAAAAAACTATGTATAATTTACACTGCAAAAAGCAATATGATGTTGGTAATTCCTTATTTTGTTTAATATAATAAATTTATTCTGTTTTCTTTTGGAAAATCAGTGGCCAACTGTGTATGCAACGGAGTGTTTTTGGTTACCCCACACAACATCCTTTTCTTTTTTCATTTACATGTTTGGAAACCTTTGAAAAACATTATCTCACCTAATGACGGAGTATTTGGAGTTACCTTATCACCACATCCTTTTCTTTTTTCATTTACATGTTTGGAAAACTTTGAAAAACATTATCACACCTAATGATTTGTTTTACCTTACACAATTGTTACATATTTTTTCTCTGTAATTCTAAACCATTAAAATATAATCCCACAATTTTCCATTTCAAAATTCTTTTTGATGACGGATGTATATTTGTTATGAATTGAACTTTGATATAACTTTAATGTTGTATTTAGTGGCGCTTTAAATTACACTGTCATCTAATCTGTTGAGTTTTTAACTTAGTGTCTTTGAAAGGAAAAAATGTTTCTCTTTATGTCTTGATGCTGGACAATCCATATTGTTTTGCATACTTTATGCATAATACACGGTAGTATATCAGCATATTGTACATTAATCTAAAAAACTAATACATGAATAACAGATTATGCATAGCAGAAATCCATGACACTTGATTAATATAAATTGTTACCGGATAATACCGGAAACGATATGCAATTATCTCATCAACGCAAGATATGGAACTAATTTCGTATCATCCCATTTAACAAATCATAAGCAGATTGTACATTGAGTCGTAGCCCAACAATATCAAATAACAAAACTAATAACAAAGACAAATGGGCATCAAATAGATTTTCAAAACAAATAGTTATGCATTTCCGCCCATACAAAAATAATCCCTCCTTTTTGCCATGATGCTTCCCATGTAATCCAATCAACAACTCCTTTCAATGCTGCCCTCTCTCAACTTTGACCAATATACGTTCCACAGGAGGATGCTCTACACTGAATAAGAGAACGTCACCTTTCGACAGCTCTTGTCCTTTGCAAATTTAAACCAGCCCCTTGACAGAAACTTCTCGGTCATGTTCTCCCTGGATTTGAAAACACATTGGTACGTAATACCCGAGTCTGTGTCATGAAGATCAATATATGATCTTGGTTCCATGAAGATTTCCTTGATGACTGCTGCTGGAAAGTGCTGCAACATTAAAACTTTATTAGCTATGTCTATTCATTCAATGTTATGCATCCTTACGAACTGTAACAGCAAACAGATCAAGAGCTTACAAGAACTTGATTTTTTATCTGGCTGCTGCTCTTAACAACTTTCTGCCATCTGCAAACAAGTTTCTCTTGCATGGCAGGAGGTTGTACAACATCAGCAGCATCAGTAGTGTTGTTCTCCTCGCTGCATTAACAAACACGATTATTTAAACTACTAATTTGCAAAGTCAAATATTCAAATGTATATATGTAACCTAAAAGCCCTTGCCTGTCCAACACATCGCCCGCTGATTCCATTGCTTCATCAGTGGAATTCTGTTCAGGCTCATCGTCTGATATGTCAACAAGCCATCCCTCCTCTCT